GGAGCAGGGATGCACCTCCGACAGCAGTGACAGAATGATGCATCACATGGGGGGGGGGTTTGTTAGAGAATGCTTCCTGTCGGGCTGTCGGCGGCACCGGGTGAGATGAACTCAGCGTTTGCCCGTGTGCCAATCGCCAGCAGAAGGGGGCAGCTTCAGACCTTGCCAGCGTCGACTCCGCGAAAATCTGAAAATATTGTATAGTTCGTATTATTAGAAAAGGAGATTAAAAGACAAAGAGCAAGACTGAGCAGGTATGGACATACATAAATAACTAAGCTGTTCACTGGCATCAGGGGAGACAGCCTTGTGGCCTGTGTTCAACACCCCCACAAACATCCTTAACAAATCAATTCATTTAAGCTTCTCCTGAAATAGCAGGTGTACAATTTGTCCTTTTTGTATGCCTACCGACACTGTCAAGCATGTTTTCAACAATAACCCTCCGGATCTAGCGGGAAATGCTGTGTTTCAGTTAGACAACTTCAATGCACAGGGATAAAAATAGCCCGGTTCAAGATTCAAAGCGCTTGGGGCTTGGTTTAGTATAGAGTGCAAACCCAGCTCACAGTTTGAAATTACTTCTTTATTTCCCCTTCTTGGTTTAAATCCAGATGTATTTTTTCCAGCCATTTGATGAAATCGAGCAAAGCCGATAATCGAATCTTTTCCAAACCTGACCACTTTTCTGATGAGCACAGAAATGACGGGATCGTCTAAGAGAGACACGCCGGTGTTCATTACACTAGAACTCAGCAGACGGTTCACATTCATTCAACATCTTCTGAAATCAGACAAGTGTTTCCTCAAGCATTAAAAATAGCTGATCTGTAGTCCAAACACAGCTTGATCTGGCCTTACCTAAGTTATTTTATTTTCAAGCTTCATCTTAACGGCCGTACGTGTTTGGCTTAACTGGGCAGACTTCCTCCATAATTAAGGCACAATCTTAAAGCTGGGGAATTCGCACAGTCAATCAGTAAGTAACTGGAAGTCAAACCAGATACTTCCAGAATTTGAATTCCAATGATAACTTTGCCTGGTGGGACAGAGAAGAAAAATAATTACCTCCCCAAACCCCTTTGTAAGTACTTGAGGTTCTGTGTGAACGACCACACACACGCAACCATGCACCCACAAACAGATTAAAAAGTCCATACAGTTTCTCTTTCAGTACCTGTCTATTATTGATAAAGTACCCACAAGCCCCAGAGTCCGCTGTTACCGTTTTTATCCTCATTTTCCTCCCGCTTTATTACTGTCAACTTGTTTCTTTTGTGTGTGCGTGTCGAGAGAAAGCAATCTTTCCTAGTGCTGCAGACAGATTCGAAACGGGGAAAGAGGCAGAGGCGGAGGGGAAGGCCTGATCTGGAAAATGGGAGAGAGAAGGAGATAGAAGGAGGAATGGAATACGCGGCACATTGCTAACTCCGGTAATTTGGCTGTCTTAGTTGTCGACCTGACGACGATGGGAGGCGACACCTGAGCGATTCGGCCTCAGACGCACGCCGGGCCTGATGAATATTTTCCAGAACATGCTGCAGGTTCGTTTTTCTGGCATTTTGGGTTGGAGTGCATGAGACTTCGCTGCACTTAAAAAAATAAACAAAGGTGAGCTCTAATACGATTGGCTCAAAGTGATGCAGGGAAAAAAAGAACTGTATTTCGCAGTTAAAACAAAGTCGGAAAGAAATGAATCGATGTAAAAAGATTCCTGTAAATCCTATATCCTGTGTCTCATATTATGTCAGGTTTAGTTTAACAAACGCAGACAGAATCATCCTCAGCTGTATGGGAAATTGAGAGTATTCTGAGGCGATTAAAGAACTGATCCCCAGAACAAGGGACTTTTCTTAAGAAAATATGCAGCCGTTTAAATGTTCGACACGTGAACGCCTTGAATGATGCACTAAACAAATAAGTGTAAGTAACATAAATCTCTACGAGGACGAGGGTAGTAAAAGCATGAGGAAGTGGACTGCGATGTCTGACAACTGACTGTAATGGGGAAAAAATGAGAATTGTTTTGTCTGAGTCTGTCAGAAGCGAGGAGGTAACAATGGTCACGGGGTCACAATAAGCTGCGTGGAGCTTGTGCAGCGGTAGGAGGGTGACAGGCGGGTGACGGGCAGCGTTCTGTGACCTCCCTCCCCAACTCGCATGGAGTTCGACGGCCGGCGTGAGCTGGATCTCGGGGGTGTAAGTGAAAGTGAGTCAAACGGCCGCCAGCAGAGAACAGCGTCCGACTGAGTCGCCAGAGTAGAACTGGGTGTTATGAGTCAGTCGTGTCAGCCTGCGACCTCCGCTGGCATGTATCACCCGTGACAGGACACCTCCACCCCCCAAGCTCCAATAATGACGGGGAACTTGAGGAGACTCACAGTTCCAGCTTGGTGCTGGGGTTTCATTCCGGCGCCTGAGAATTCCAAGCCTCCCTCCATTCCTCCTCCTCACCCACTTCCCCCGCTTGTTAACCTTTTACCATGCTGCCTCCCTCTCTTTTACCACGGTTGGGTTAACTAATAAGGAGCCTTTCCGGAATGTTCTCCCAACCGCTGTGGGGTGGGTCTCGCTCTAAGAGACCGTGTCACCACTCTGGGAAGTGCAGAAATCCTGTGAGGCGGGAGACACGAGCCGGTATGCCGCTGCCGTCACGCGGGGCCAGATCGCGGCGCGTTTACCTCTGGTGGCGAGAAAGTGCTAGAAAGTCAGGAGGACACGGCAACAGTCGCCTTCCCGGAGGAGTGAGCTGAGGCTGAGCAGATCGAGCAGCGGCAGCTGCTCTCCCGGGTGTGTGAAGCGTGGGTGTCTGTTTCTCACTAAAGCCATAATGTCACCTCGATCTGGCAGCCATCTAAATAAATAGAATTCGAACCCGCAGGGGAGCTTGGGGTATTTCCTGCGAGCGCTCAATCCCCAGTCACCGGCGGTAACGCTACGCTGGGCCCATCTCACACCGGTCGCGCCGTGTGGGAAGCTCTCTGCCCGTGCTTGACGTTCCGTGGCCGTTCTGCCGCTCGGAACGCCGCTGAACTTAAACGTTTCGCCATTCCAGCCGACGTCCCATAATTTCGCTTTAATGAGATCCGCGTTACTTCATATGTCATCCGGCGCAAGAACAAAAAAAATAAAAATACGGCGCTCAGTAATAATGGTAATAGCTAATGAGCTCAATGCCGTTTCCGTCACCCCCCCCACCCGGCGTAATGTATGGGACTGTAAGCGTATCTAAATGCGATTAGTAGCACTTCCATCTTGCGGCTGGCTAATGCGTTCGCCAGACGGCCGTGGACATCTGATTACGACAGTTTGTATGTGAATCGTTGCCAGCGGTACGTCGCTCGAATAGAGATTCTTTTGATGCCATTCCAAGATCCATTCTCTTAATGCCAAGCTGCAGCTGAAAGGCCGACTGCGAGGCGCTCTCGCTGGGGAGGGCACGCCAGTAGCCGGGCCCGGGACAGGATGCTAGAATTACGCGACGCATTTCATTAAAAGATATGGACAAAGGTCACGTTTCTGCCGTTGGTTTTTCGCTTTTATTAGAAAAGGGGACCGGGAGGCCGTGTGACCGAAGCGGCCCGCGATGACGACACCGGCCCCTGGCCACCGAGGCTCGGAGAAACTGAAGGAGCAGGAGGGGTTAGCCAGGTGCACTGGGGCCGGTGACCTCATCCGTTCCCTTTGGGGTCATGTGACTCCTGCCTGACAGAACAAATGTCACGCTCCCACACATCACACCCCTCCACCAACCCCCCTCCATCCCCACCACCCAACCATGAATTTACCCAGAATCCCACAGTCCTTTAAGATCCATAGGTTAATTACATCCCCCATACAGATAAAAAAAAAAAAAACACTCATTTAATGCCTGGACTCTATCCCAGGACGGCGCAGGGCAGGACCCGTGTGACCACTGGGAAAGCATGCAGAGTCCTGACATATACAGCTAGGGGGGCATATATAATCATCGGTTTTAAAGTAGTGGGGCCGTCATTGGGAGGTATGTGCAGAAGCAAAGGACCTTATGACCCTCGTCGTGAATTAAGGAGGCTCAGGCTTGGAGCTGAAGTGCATTCTGGGCCGCGCTGAATCGCCGCTGAGTTTTCGGTCTGCGCTCGGGCCCTTCTACATGTGACGTCGGGTAACGCGGCGAAAGCCGAACCCGCGGCGAAACCCCAAACTCCCGGCAACGGCTCCACGCTCATGTTGCTAGGACACCAGCGGCGAAAGTTCCATCCCGGAACACTGGCTCCTTCCAAAACCGCTAATCCGGCAATTTGTTTCTTTAATCGAAAGCCTGAAGAAGAGATGGGGTCACGGCGGAAGTTCAGGAGGCGTGCGTCCGTGGGCAGATCCAGCCTTTAATTAGGCGAGCCGCTGTTCGGAAAGGACACACATACGAACGCTCTCACGCACACACCCACACACATGAGACGGATGTACAGCATAGCAGGGCAGGGAAGGTGGGGCTGAATTTGGCCAGGACTCGCCGCTACTTCACAGCAACTCACCCTGCTCTAGCCTCCCGTCTGGGAACCTGTGTTCGGAAAGGAATCCCTCTCCCAGCAGCAGAATTCCTGCAAACCCAGGTCCTGCTGACTGTGTTCCTCCTGCCAAATGAGAGATTCCGCACTGAATCAGCAAGTTACCGAATAAATATGCCAACAAATGAAGGAGCTCCGTTTCCTTTCTTTGCTGCCGTTTGGAAGATGCCTGCTGTGCGCTCACCAAAAGCCTCCTTCTGCCGATTAAATCCCAAATTTCAGTCTAGTTAAACATGCGGGCTATACTGGGACATTGTGTCTTCAGGATAAATGGACTGTGTCTGTATCTGTCCATCAACCAATCAGAAAGGCGCAATGACGGCGCTACCTGCAACTATGCCCTGAACACTAACTGATCAGCAGAGTGATTTAACTGAGCTGTCAATCTGAGTGTGTGTGCGTATATATATATATATATATATATATATATATATATATATATATATATATATATATATATATATAATTATGAAATTAAATTGAGTTGGTGGACTCGAGAAGCCTGATTAATTAATCCGTTTAGTGTGCAGGTAACTTTAATTACCGTAATTACCATTACCCCATATAGTTATCCCAGCGTAGTCCAGTCTCAAACCATCTGTTTTCAGGTTGCAGATTTAAACATCTTTAAACATCTGTTTATATTACAAATCCTACTTATTTATTAATTTCATTGGAAGCGTGGCCCTAAATTGTACCGAAGATGTGCGGAAATTATTTATATGGATCTATGGTCGTATTTATTCATTCATTTCACGAGGCTACAGTTGCGCTTAGGGGCTTGGCTGGAATATTTTTCTTCGCTATGATTTTAAGTGAAGAATCTGATAAAACAGAGCTAATTTTTTTCCTGAGGTTTTATCTCAGACCCCATTGAGAATCGTGGAAGGGCCCATAATTGCATGTGCCCATCAGACCGTGATTAAGGTGTCTCTGGACTCACTGGCAGAGTGGGTGCCCCCCCCCCCCCAGCTCCACCCTCACCCCCTCACCCCCTCAGCTCAGGATGCACTCAGCAAGTGGAATCCATCACCTCTTCATTATCGACCGATCCATCAAGCCATGTTTACCAAGGAGAATTCCGTTGTTGCGGGGCAAACACGTCCACAGCACGTTATCTACCTACTGCCGCCCTGAGGGGATGTTCATTCACCCCCCCCCCCCCAGGACAGTCACATGATACCTATCTAACAGGCCCCATGCACCTTCCCAAAATTCCAGTTCACTTAAGCATCCAGGCTGCATTGCTGTGAAACTAATAATAATTTAGCTCTATAATCACATAACCAGATATCCTTAATTCATTTGTTTAATCATAATATTTATATCTACATATACTTATTGTTTTGTATTTGTACTTAGTTATATAATTTTCCAGTTATATTATTTTCTCCCATATTCCCCATATAAGGTTTACAGAGTCTGCCCAGTTGGTGGTATAGCGACCAAGAATATATAGTCATTACCAGAGGGTTGACAGTTTAAGCTGCAGGAAGTCATATCATTGAGTAACGCACTAAACGCAGACCGTTTATACTGTATAAATGGGTAAAGTTGTAGCTCTGAATAGAAACATTAGGTCGGTCAAACAAAGCGTATTCAATACCGCACTTTAACAAGCGATCTGTCACATGATCCTTTGCAGCAGATTTTCTCCAGCCTCCAGAAGATCTCCTGAACTTCTCATTGGGAACATTGAGTGAGCAGACTGCTGAACTTAATGTTTTTATAGCCATGGTATTCAGCCTGGTGTGGGAATGACATGGCGGCTTCAGACCGCTTCTCTCCTTTATTTCTTTCTTTGCGTTCCGCCGTTTCGTCTTTGAGGATGCCGCGTTGTTTTCTCACGGCCTCTGCGGCGTGGCGTGGCCTTCACGGAATTTCCCGGTACCACACCTCAATCTTCCAGCCGATACCTTTTAAAAGGACTCCGGGTCAGACCTTTAGGAATGGAGGCTTCGCCTAATGGGCTGGGCCTCTCAGTTGTGCTTCTCAAAAGTGTGGGGTGTGGATGATGCCCCGCCCACTCTCATGATGTCATAGGAACCGTCCCACAATGCCAATGGCTTTCATTGCATCCAATGTTCCTATTGTCCATCCCATGGGATCTGAGTTTGGTCAGCAGGCCAAGTAATCCTCCCTGTTACCGTATAAATGCCTAATTCGAGCTTATTAGGGTCAATTATCTAACTATGCATGACGAAGCCTAGCAGTGAGGCACAAGGATGGAGTTTGTCTGCATGTACGTACAAGTCATGTAATAACATACGGCTCAGGGGAAGGGGCTGATGGTCCACTTCTACCTGTTATTTTCTTCTAAAGCTTTCTTAGCACCAGACTTTTTTTTTATTGCCGGCTTTGTCAGAAGTTTTGCAAATAAATCTTGCCGAACAGGAAAGTGAGAAAGGTTTGAGTCAAATTATAATGTGTCTTCGGCTGAGTGGGTGCGGCGGCGATGAGCCGCTCAGATCACAAGCCGCATTCCTCTGAACTCAAGTTACGGTTAATGTGAAAGTTACGGTAGCTCCTGCGGTCGGTGTCGTCGCTGCAGAGTTTGACCTTTTGCACAAAACGAGGGGAAGCCAGTTAAACATAATAAGTCATTTGAAAAGCTCAAAGGCTTCCGGATGGATTTCCGGTGCCTCGATTTCGGCTGGGCGAGCCGTATATGTTCGGAGGTCCCCACCTGCTTAGTGTTGATCCCCGTCTCCAAAGCGAGTGCAACATCGCTCAGAGAACCTCAGCTCATTTGCACTCTCCGTGGCACCACCACACAAAGTGCGTCGGTCAGGGGATGCGCGTTAATGGGACTCACAGTGTTTACATTTCGCCTTGGAAAAAAAAACACACACGCACATGCTATTAGGCAGGTGGGCTCTACAGGGGACCTGCGATCAGGACTTAAAACAAACAAAGCGCTTCACGTCTATACAATGCAATAAATCGCTTTTTATGCACGACAAATAGATCTGCTGTTTTATTAAAATTAGGGAAGATGAACCAACACACGCCCAAAGCTCTCTCAAGGAACAGGAAGCCTGGTTCATACCCTTCACACGTCCTAAATGATCACAAATAACCATTAACTAACCAGTTACCTGCTTACAGGGAATAAATGGGCACTTGAAAATGTGTTTATTCAAATGTCTCTTTCTCTTAGATCAAATTAAAAGCAATGCCACTATTTTCCATATATTTGACCGTGCTTGTCTTAAAGGAAAACTTATGTATTCTATTCATCTTCTATGCCCACTTGTCTTGTGCAGGGTTACAGGGGGTCCGGAGCCTATGTTGGAAGCTACGGGTGCAAGGCAGGGAAAAACCCAGGATGGGGTGCCAACCCATCGCAGGGCACACACACCATTCCCACATATGGACAACTTCGGCAGCTCTGTTCTTGAAAAACGTCTTTAACTCGATAAAGGTAAATTAGGATGACTTAAGGGCAGCCATGACGGGACAAGCTGAGGAAGCCTCGGTCAGTTCAGGGAGCGGCCGGTGAACCCGGCGATGCTCCGACGTGACTCAACCTCTCCTCCCTAACTGGCACATCCAAAGACAAGGGGGGAGGCCAGCGTCAGCCACCACACGCCCAAGCAGAGGTAAACATCTGCGGAGCAGCCCTCCCGGTCTCCACAGCCATCTGCTCCTCCGTCGCTGCACGTTAATAAGCTGGTGGAGGCCCTCTGACGTTCTGCCGAAGGCGCGGAGAGGATACGGGATAGACTTGCAAAAAGAAAAGAAAAAGTTTGAGTCCTTGTGTTTGATTTTACCCATGAAGTGATACATGTGTCTTAATGCAAAAAAATAATAGGCATGAAACCACTGGATTTCCATGTCTGGCAGGTCGCGGGTAATGATCCCTACCCTGTGAATGAGTATTACACACATCGTGCGCAGGTCTCTACACAAACAAAGCTCCTTCTGGAAGGATCTCAAGAGCATCAATCTGGAAAACTCTAGGCAAGCGCTCGGTGCCGTAACGTGTTTGTTATTTGTTTCTTGTAGACAGAAAAATCCGATCAATGTCGCTGGTCCAGCCTCACACCGGCCCAGAGGAGAGAGAGGCAGAAGGAGACACGGTATGGTGGCTGGTTGAGACCCGGGCCCCTTCCGGATCTGTCTGAGATGAGAAGCCTGACCCTTCAGATCGTAGAAATGGGCTGGTTTTAGATTCATATCGCCCCCTGCAGGGAGAGAGTGACCACGATTTAAGGATAAAATTCTGTGTCTGTCTGTGCGGCCCATGTGGAGTTGAACTGTTCACTTCAGTCTCTTAGCTGTTAGTGCTGTCAATGCCCCTGTCATCTTCCACCATAAACAGGCACCTTTATCCTGCCACCTCCTCATGGACCAGCAGCCAGGGCGATAGCCCCCATCCCTCAGGAAACTAAATACCAGGTAGTCGATGTCCTCGCTCAGGAGTGCGGCGACTTCGCTGCCATCGGGAAGACGGCAAGAAGGAACTTTCTGTCTTTGTGATGGAGGTCAGCGGAGGCCAAGTGAGTAAGACTTGCCGCCGATTCCGGTACAGGCCCATGGCCGCACTGCTTCTTGTTAAGCGCCGTGTGACTTGGGAATTTTGATTCGGTTTGTGCTGGTCTAAAACTCTTTGTCTGGAGTGGACTAGGCTGTAGTGGAAGGCTGTGATTCCTGGTGAATTCCAGGCTTGATCAGTCTGAAGGCCGGGACATCGGCCGGTTTCTCAGCTGGCGATTCCGATTTAATTGGGATTGCTGAGAGTGTGGTTCAGAAAAGCTTCTGCAGTTCCACGGGTTATCATGGGTTCCAATCCCAAGGAATACATGTAAACTGTAACCCTTTCCTCTAATGTAAAAGTATCAGTTCAGTGTAGAAAATAATCAACAACTTTCCAATTCTTATTGTGAATCTGGCTTGTGACTTTACCATCCGGAAGTCGATCCAGTTGAGAACCACTATAATAATCCATGTTATCGATCAGGAGTCATAAATCTGTTCGGACGCATCCCGATTTTCTGTGTACGCTTTGGCGTAAGAAAGCCACGCGTTCCTTCTTCCTTTTTTTCGCGCACATTTGGATATGGCTGAGTATTTCGAGATGCGGCGGTGTTCAGCTTTTCCGAGGCTGCTCTCGTCACCGGGAGCGATGCGTCGTTCCTGCGGCGACCCAAGTCACTTCAGCACAGGCTGAGCGGAGTCCCGCTCCCCCCCCCCCTCTGCCGTGTGTGTTTTACCCGGAGTGAGGTAACACAATCCCCTAAAGGGAAAGATTGTTATTTGTATTATTAAAGTGTGCAGTGGGGTAGCAAGGGGATTAAAATTCCAGGGTGATTTTTAACACGGTGGGCGACGGTCTTACAACACTGTTCTCCTGTGCCTCGCGCTGGGAGTGCACCACTAAGCTGAGAGAGGTCAGGTGGCAATGGAGAACCTCTCCCTGCCCCCCTTCCCCCTCGACACACACACACACACACACACACACGGCCCACTCTTTCTGGAAGGTAGGGGGAAATATTAAGGAACCAGTGCGAGGGAGTGGCAGATGCCGTGTTGGGGAGAGAAGCTCGGCAATCGTCATGCCTGAATGAATAAGCTCAGAAACATCTGCCAGAAAGCTTCCATTAGCCCTCAGCTATATTAGCCTCTGGCTATTTGCCTTCAAGACAATAAGGAGGATTTCTGAGAAGCGAGCAGGAAGTCTTTTTTACTGTGAATTTTCCACGTCTGTAAAACAGAGCAGAACAGAGGATGGGTTTGCTTAGTGGGGAGTCAGATCTATAAAAAAAACAAAAGAAAATTAGGTTGTCAAGGAATTTGTCCGACTGTCTCGGTTTGGAGAACGTTCTAGATGTTTCTGGTCTTTTCCCAGGCATTTATTTTTAGGGGCCGTGTTTTCCCCTGCGCCTGTCTGTGATTGGTCTGAGGGTGTCTTCTCCGAGACTGATGACTCCCTGTGGCCTCAGAGGCATCGAGCTCCCATCCATTAACACGTGGATGTGAGTCAGCCGGTGGAGAGGGAGAGAGCCTGTGGAGGAGGTGGGGGCTTGAGGCGGGGGGGGGGGGGGGGGGTGTGCTGTGTCTGGTAAAGTGCAGAACATTGTAGTGGATATGCGTCAAACGGCCCGGCTCCGGCAGAGGTGTGTGTTCCAGTCGTGCTCTTTTTTTGGGTATCGAGATTGGTCTCCTGCTTTGGCTGCACCGATGAACAAATGTTGTTTGGTGGTTAACACGTCGGTGAGGTGGTAGGTTGGGGGGGTGGGGTTTGTAGGGGCAGCACACACTTGCAGACCCGGGAGTGCTAACAGAGCGTAGCCCGGGGGGGGGGGGGGGGGGTGACCCGCCAGACTGCGGTTTCTCTACTTAACAGCCGTGAATCCGTGCGCACCTGCCTACCGTCTGTCAGGGCTGGCGGGGGGGGGTGCCTCATCCACCGCTCTCGCCAGACGCCTCCTGTAGGTCCACTGAAGAGCAACGCTCTCCACCCGGCAGAGCTCGCGTTGGCTGGGATGTGAGGGAAGCTAACACGTATCACAAAGCAAGATAAGCAATATTCCTCAGACGAGACGACCCTGAATTCTTCGAGCGGCTTTAATCCACACTACATCAATGTAAGAGAAAGCTGGACTGAAGTGTACTGCAGCTGAAATAAAATAACCCGTGCCCCCTCAGGCAGCACGGACACCCCCCCGGCCCCAATCTCCTCCCCATGGATTGCCTTCGAAGCCGTACGCACCTGTCCAAACACGGGTGGGCAGCACAGATTGATCAGACGTGGCAGAGACGGTGATGGTCAATCCATCTCCAGGCACGGACATGTA